AGCCTAGAACATTGGTTAGTCCTGGGGAAATCCAATTCAAGTTTGGGCAAGAGAGTGAAAGTGGGTATGACTCAGCTGCCTGGGGCTGAGTTCCCAACACCCAGATCCCATCCAGACTCCGTGAGAGTGGAATAGGCAGGTTTCCCCCCTCTAGGGCAGTTCTCTTTGGGGGAGGCCCTTTGGACTCACTGGTGATCAAGTGTTCTGATTTGTTGCCAGTGTGGGTCGGTCAGGCACAAAGAGCAAACTGCCCCTTGCTGCTCATCAAACAATCAGTTCTGTGTGGAGTGGAGGACTGTCAAGGACCCAGTGAGTCAGGGCTTTGTGCAGGATGACCAGGGATCCCCTAGCCATACATATCAGAGATAACCCTGCTCTGGAGGGGAGTGCTGGGGTTACAGGACCTCAAGACTCTGGTGCCAGAAACACTCATTCTTTTAAGTTTCGGAAGAACACAGATGTTTCTGAGCAAACAGTTCCCTTGCTGAGAAACTAACTCCAGCCATTGAGAAGATAAACCATGTGAAAAGGTCAGAAAATGGGAGCAGAGCTCAAGATGCGAGCTCCATGGACATAGCAAGAGAACAGATTCATATAAAACCACTGGCATAGCTGCTGGCAGGACACACAGACTTTGAGGTAGAGAATTAGAGAAAGCAATGAGCTACCTAATCACACTCTCTCCAGTGTTGAGGGCCGTGTGTGTGTGTGTGTGTGTGTGTGTGTGTGTGTGTGTGTGGAGGTATACACATCAATTTCACTCTGGCCCTCCCAGGGGAATGGCTGTTTTCTTAAAAAAACTTTTTAAAGTATATTTATTTATTTTGAGAGAGAGCATGTGAATGCAAGTATGGGAGGGGCAGAGAGGGAGAGAGAATCCCGAGTGGGGCCTGAATCCATGAAACCGTGAGATCATGACCTGGGCTGAAATGAAGAGTCAGTCGCTTAACTGATTGAGCCACCCAGGAGCCCCTATGATTTTATTTTTAGTGATTTCTACACCCAACGTGGGACTTGAGCCTACAACCCCAAGGTCAAGAGTCACATGCTTTATTGACTGAGCCATCCAGGTGCCCCAAGGGGTGGCTTTTTTCTGTTCCTGATCCATCTGGGTGGAGGTGGAATGGGTTACCTTCTTGCTACTTGCTTGTTCACTGCTATTTATAAACCATTCTCCCTCCTTTTCCTTAGCTTCGCCCCTTGCTTTGAACTAATGTTGTTAGGCCACACCACTCACTGCTCTCCAAGTTATTCTTGTCTACCAACCTCCAGGTCTTTTCTCAAAATTCCTTGAAGACCGCTGCTCCTGGTTCTCACCAAAACTATTCTTGTCATATATTCTGGCGATTTTGATAACCTTGGGAACAGTCCAACCAGAGCTTTGGCCCCTCTTTTCTGACTTCTTCTCCCGCAATCTTGTTTTTTAATCTACCTCAGCAATTCCTCTCTTGGCCCACATAGACTTTGACAGTGCCAATCTGCGGCGTCTCCATACTCCCAGTTTCAAGTATTACCCCCTCCGGGATCGCTATGTCTTATCTTTTCAGTGTATTCTATCCAGCATCCTGCTTTAATAAACCTTAGATCTCCACTGGTGCCTTTAGTCTCTTCATCCTACTAAGTTTACAGTGTCCCTTGTATCCCGCTTGCCCTCCTGTTTCACATTATTTTAAGTTACATGGTCAGTCACTTAATTACTCCCTTGCACTAATCTTCAACTCTTTTCAACTTCCTAATCTTCATTTCTTGCTTGATAGTAATAGTTCGGTAAAAACCTCAACCCTGGTTAAAATTAATTTTTCTACCTACCGTTGCCTGTAATCATGCAACTGAAGAAAAACACTCAACAATGCCGACTAGTCCCACTTTAAATTCATAATCATGAATCTCACATGGGTCCTTACAGCCATCTAGCAATTGTACAGGTCTCCAGTTCTGTTTTTCTGGACAACTATTTTATACTTTACCTTCCTTCCTCAGACCTCCAACATCTCTTCCTCTATACTGTTATTAATTGATGAACTTGCTTCCTATATGTATTTTTAAACTTATTTTTGAGAGAGAAAGAGAGACAGAGTGTGAGTGGGCAAGGGGCAGAGAGAGGGGGACACAGAATCCGAAGCAGGCTCCGGGCTCTGAACTGACAGCACAGAGCCTTATGTGGGACTTGAACTCACAAACTGTGAGATCATGACCTGAGCTGAAGTTGGACGCTTAACCGACTGAACCACCCAGGCACCCTGAGTTATCACTTTCTAACTAAAGTGACAAATTACCCCCGAATTCAGCATATTAAGACAACAAATATTATCTCACACAGTTTCTGGGTGCATCGTCTGGCTTGAGGTCTTTTATGAGATTGCTGTCAAGTTGTTGGCCAAGGCAATAGTCTCTGAATATTTGATTGGGGCTGGAGGATCCACTTTCAAGATCATTCACAGGGCTGTTGGCAGAAGTACGTTGCCATGTGGGCCTTTATATAGGGCTGCTTGTGACATAAACAGCCTCAGAGCAAGTGATCTGAGAGTGGGAACAAATGAGAGAGGGAACAGCATCTTTTACAACCTACTCTCTAATGTGATATATCATTACTTCTGCCATATTCTATTGGTCGTCACCAGACCAACCCTGGTACAGCGTAAAAGGGGACTACACAGGGTGTGAACACCAGGAAGTGGAGACCATGAGAGGCTATCTTGTAGACTGGCTACAATCCTATTTTACAGAGAAAATGGAACAGTTAAAGGAGAACTTCCCCAACTCCAACCACTATCTTACCCAATTACCAGTATATAGTCTACTTACCTAGCTATTGTTAAAATGAGCTTTTCCTCTTGCTATCTAAGGCCATTCCTTCTTGCCCACTTAAGGACCCAGGTACAAACATTTTCCCATCTCTCTCCTGCATTGACCAGATAATTCCCATCAACACAAAATGTGTGCTCTGATCTTAAAGAATTATCATCTATCTTTCCTTTCAGCTACCCATTTCTCTATGTCCTTTTACAACAAAACCCATTGAAAAGGTGGTCTAAAATTGGTCTCCAATTCCTCCTTCCCTTCTCTTCTAAGTCTACTCCATCAGGCTTTCACTCTCCAACTACTCCAAAAACACTGCTCTTTTAAGTCTTCAATGACCACATTGTTTAAACCCAATAGTCAATTCTTAGTGATCCAATTTGAGCTATCAGCAGGATTTAGCATGAATGGTCTGTTCTCTTCAGTGATACTTTTCCTTCACTTGGATTTCAAGCTATCACACATTTCTGGTTTTCTTCCTTAGCTTACTAGCTGATCCTTCCCAATCTTTCTGCATTCTTCTCCCCTTATTAGCCTCTTTATTGTTGGGATACCTCGCGGCTCAGTCCTTGGATCTCTTTTCTTACCTGTCTATATTCAATCCCTTGATGATTTCATTTCATCTCCTAGCTTTAAACCTATAAGCTAACAACTTCCAAATTTATATTTCTAGTCCAGAACTTTCTATGTACTGTAGATACTTTTATCATACTATCCTCTTGGATGTCAATTAGATAAACACAGCTTAAACTGAACTCCTGATCTTTCTCCCAAACCTATTCCTTCTACCATTTTCCCCATCTGAGTAAAATGGCAACTCCATCCTGTCAGTTGCTCAGGATGAAATCACTAAAATTTTCCATGACTCTTCTCTCTTTCACCCACACACTCCATATCCAACTTTCGACAGGTCCTGGAAGTTTTGCCTCCCAAATATGTCCAGAATCCAACTACTTCTCACCATCTTTACCACTACTTCCCTGACCCAAGTCGTCACAATCTCCTATTGGGATTATTAGAATAGCCTCTTAATTGGCCTACTACTTATACTTTTGACTCATTCAGTCTATTATCAACATAGCATCCACAGTGAATTTAAAAAAAAATTTAAGTCACATTATGTCATTCCTTTGCTCAAACCTTCCAGTGTTTCCCCATCTCAATGCTTTTTCATGGCTTACAATGCTTTATATAACTGCCCACCTCCTAACTTTTGACTTCCTATCTCAACACTCTCCACCTCTCACTCTGTACCAGTCACGCTAACCTTCTTGCTGTTTCTCAGCCAGACATATAACCACTTTGGAGTGATTGTACTTGCTGTTCCCTCTACCTGGAACACTTAACTCTCCTTTCAAGATTACAGTAGCTAGTTCATCATCTAAAGGAAGTTTGCATTGGCGACTTTGATCAAAAGTACCTCAGTGAAACCTTCTCTAGTCAGCCTCTCTAAAATGTCATTTCCCCTCCCAACTCATTGTTTATCTTCTTTCTCTTCTCTTATTCGACAGTATTCATCAGCATTAGGCACATTTACTTACTTATGTTTTTATCTGGTTACTTCTCATCATATTACAAATTTCATGAACAAGGGATATTTATTTTGTTCACTGCTGTATATTTCTAGTGCCCAGAACAGTACTGGTATATAAAAAGCCTTCAATATGTTAAATGAAAGAATGAATGGATACTTCACATGATGAAGCGTCCCACAATTATAGTATTGCTTGGAGCAGAGAGGATGACCATTCATGAGGCCTCGCTGTTCAAATATAAGGATATGTACTAAATAGTTTTATAAATGTAATGATGTGTGCACAGGATGGGTGTGATTTACTGTTAGTTTAGTTTGTTCCTTGAGGAAGCCCTACAAGACCCAGTTTTTCCCATCCTTTTCCCGTTTCCCTCTATTCGGAGCCCTGGCCCTCCGAGTCAGCGCTTTTCAGTTCAACGTAACCTTTTCCCGCAAGTTTTGGGCTGGTCTTCATCTCTGCACCAGGGGCCGGACACACCTTGACTCTCGCATTATTCAGCAGCCCCGCGAACTCAACTCGTTCCCGCCCTGTTCCTTGCATCTTCTGAAGCCCCGCCCCCCGAATCCAGACACGAAGCGGAAGTGACGTTCCTGCGGAGCTCGAAGTCCCGCCCCTCACGCTTTCCCATCTCCGGGGAGGGACCACAAAACCGGAAGGGGCCGATACATGGCCACCGAAGGGCGGGGCCGGGCTTGGCGCGGCCCGCCAGCCCTACCGAAAGTGACGGTTTGCTAGAGGTGGTTACCTTGGAAGCCCGAGTAGTTTGAATGTGTGGCGACCTGTGTACCGGTAGTTGTTCGGTGCTATTTCAGCAGGACTGGGATCCCCGAGGCCTCAGAAACAGGCTTTTATCTGGCTCGGGACTCCCCGGCGTTCAGCACTTCCCCCCATAACCGGAGAGCAGTTATTTGGACTCTGCCTCAGACCCAGGTTCCCACCCGGACCCTACCAGCCGCCTTCCTCTCTGGCTGCTACGGTCGTTCCTCCCTTTCATCGCGGTGCCACCAGTGGGCACAGTCTTCTTTCAGTAGATCCCTTTTCTCTCCCCTTTCATCCCCGTCCCTTGCAGAAGGCAGTCTTTAAACCTATCCTTTTCCTTTCTTCCCATTTCCTTCTCCAGAATTCTTGTTCTTTGACTGCCTGGCAGGCTACTTACTGCCTCCTCCCAGGCTTCTCGCCTTTTTAGGAGCCTGTCGCTCATGGATTAGGAGGTTGAGCTTTTAACGCAGTCGCTTGAAGATTTTAAGCTTCTCCTTTCTCCTAAAACAGGGGTCACAGATGCCAGGAAGGATGGCCCCCCTCAAGAAGCCTCGAAATGCCACAAGGTTGCCCCTGGCTTTAAACCCTCTGAAGAGCAAGGACGTCTTGGCAGTGCTGGCTGAGAGGAACCAGGCTATAGTGCCAGTTGGGGCCTGGGTGGAGCCTGCCTTGCCAAATAGTTCGGAGGTCCCAGCATATGTGAGTGTCAGCTTGATGCCGATATGGTGGGGTTCCTCCCCTGTTTGTGTTTGTTCATTTGTTTCTTTATTTCTTCATATTAGCCTTCTCTAAATCCCTGGTGCTTAGATAAAGATGAACTGTCTCGGGGATGTCCTTTCTATTCCATTCTAAATAGTTCTTGCCTTAGGATTGCAGAACAAACACGTACTTGCCTAAACTTTATTTCACAGACTCTTGATTGCTTGCTGTGCACCAGACATGAGCACTGTCTGTATCGTCTGGACACCCTGCAACTAGTAGAGATGACAATTGCCACACTTAAAGTAACATCAATTGATTGCTTGAATTTCAAGTTCATTAGTTGAAATGATTGATAAGTGTGTGATAGAGTCTGTAAGATTCAGATATAATGTCCATGGAGACAAGGACCTTTATATTTTGTTCATTCCTGACCTGTCCTATAGTATGGCTTGAGGAAGTATTTGTGGAATGAATGAATGTGGAAATGTAGCCTATGTTAGTCCTTAAAAAATGGAAATGCTGTCTAAGTATAAATCATAGAAGAGCATTTCAGATGAAGGGAAACTTTTGCAAAGTTTACATGTGTGCCTGTTTACATAATAACTCTCGTATGTACCAATTAACACAGGACAATTTTGTAAGATTTTTGATAGTCTTTCACCAAACTGTGCCCCTTAACTATTTGTTGGAATTTTCTTGTGACATTTACCACATTATATTTATAGGAAGCTGCTTGCATATCTCCTTTTCCTGATGGAGTGTGAGTTTCCAGAACACAAGGAAAAAAATCTCATTTTTTACCATCCCCAACTTTGTCTTAGTGCCTGATAAATATAGGCACTTGGCAAATATTTATGGAATGCACAAATTGTGTGAAGGTCTTCTGAGTATCGACAAAATGCTGAACATGAGATGAAAAACAGGAGTAGTCCTTGTTCTCAGAGAAGAAACGAGACATGTTTAAAGTCTTAAATAACAAAGCAATGTCATATATTCATTTTGTTTTTTATACCTATGTACATATGTATTTATTTATTCCTCTTCTGCCTATTTCCAGAAAGGATTTTAAGTGTCTAAGTAGTATATGATTCAGTGCTATGACTGTGATACTTCAGGAAGATAGGACTTTGGGCTGATGTGATACAGTCAAGTTTAATGAGGAATTTAGAGGGGCACCTGGGTGACTCAGTTGGTTGAGCGGCCGACTTCAGCTCAGGTCATGATCTCACGGTTGTGGGTTCGAGCCCCAGGTCGGGCTCTGTGCTGACAGCTCAGAGCCTGGAGCCTGCTTCAAATTCTGTGTCTCCCTCTCTCTGCCCTTTCCCCACTCATGCTCTGTCTCTCTCTGCCTCTCAAAAAATAAATAAATGTAAAAAAATATATAAAAAAAAGTATTTAGATAACCAAAGAAGGAGGAGGATTCTCCAGTTAAGGAGAATGTGGAGTAGGAAGTGAGCAAGGTGTATTCAGGATTCTAAGGGTAGATTAGATTGATTGGAGAGGAAAGTTTAGTAGCGGGATGGTGGTAGATAGGATTGTGGAAAATAGGAACTGTGGGGAACCACAGGAAATTTTGGATAAGGGATTGACTTCGTTCATTGTTTAATATTTACAGACAAATGTGATGATAAAACACTGTTCTGATTAGATTAATTGCTTCAAAAATTTTCCGAGGTGAGAGATAGATTGGCTCCTGTGGGGAAAAATTAGGATAGAATTGTAACAATTTAGCCATGAAGTATGGCACCAAGACTTGTTTAATGATAAGGAATAGAGAGAGAAAGCCTTAAAAAAGGGTGGTTAAAGTAGGAATGAAAAGGGATAAATGTAAGAAACATCCCAGAAGAATTAGTAAAGTTTGGTACAAAGGTATTCTGGTATTTAAGTTATTGACCCCTCATTTTCATTGCTCAAATTATGACATCTTTGTAACGTAGCGTCAAAATGCCAAAAAATCACCACAGTTTTCTTTCTATATGTTAAAAAGAATTGAGTCTCATGTTCCCAAACATTAACTCAAAATATTAGTCTTGGAAAATATATGTTTCCTTTGCCTCACTTAAAGAATTTTGATTAGTACCAGTCAATGGCAATTTGATCAAGCATCTCATAGGACTTTTTACCAATTTAGCATTTGTAATGGTAATGGCATTGGTAACAGTCTGGGGAATCCACCCTTATCAACAGATTCAGCTTCTGTCAGCTCAGAATAAATGCTGAATAGTTACTTCTAAAGTATGGTAGACCAATATCATGCTTATTCAAAAGGGAAACTCCTAATCATTTTTGTCCCCGAAATTTCAAGGAGCTCTTAAGATTCCTAAGAATACCATAAGCTTCAACCTCCCTTTCCATTAATTAAATTAGCATCAAAGGACACTGCTATTCTATCAGCATATGTGGCTGTCACATTATTTTATGATTTACGTGATTATCTGTTGTTGTATAACAAACTGCCCCAGATCTTAGTGGCATAAAGCAAATTATACTGTGTGTCAGGATTTAGAGCAGGGAACGGTGAGGATGGCTTGTCTACAACACAATGAAGCTTCAGTGGGGACAGCTGAAAGAGCTGGAGATGTCTGGGAGGACTATACTGGATTCTGGCTATTGGTTGGATTTCTTGTTTCCTCTTCACCTGGCCTCTACTGGGCTGTAATGTCCAGGATGACTTTCTTACTCACATGTCTGGCACTTGGTCCAGGATGACCAGAATGGCTGGGGGATTGCTTGGACGCGTTCTCTTTCCACATGGTTTCTCTAGTTGGCTAGTTTGGGCTTCCTTTCAGCATGGTGGTCTCAGGGTAGAAGTCTTACATGGTGGCTCATTTCCCCTAGGAAGTCCAAGAGCACTCCAAAAGCCATAGGTGGAAGTTGCTTTGAGACTTTGCTTGAGAAGTCATGGAGCCAATGCTTCTGCCTCATTCTGTTGGATATACAGAGCCAGACTACAGTCAGTATGGGAGATTATTACACAAGAGCATAGAAACTGGGAGGCTTGATTCACTGGGGGGAGAAGGGGAGATCATCTTTGGAGACTACTGTGAATACTAAACATAAGTTTCATCATATGTGAATTATCCAGAAATGTTCTTTGGTTGTTGTGAGAAACACTTCTTTCTATATTGTCCCCTTGGATAGTCCTTAGGTTATAAAACGTCTATGAGGATTTAGTTGTACAATTGAAACAATATGAGGAGTTAGTTGTACAATGGAAACAATATTTCCTTTTGCTTAACCCAGTATTTCTCAAATTTATTTGACTTTGGGAATCTCTTAATGTCCCAAAACATGAGACAATGTTCTTGGGTTCTGGTTGCCCTATAAAGTGGTGTTTACTAAGCAAAATATGTTTCTATAATATGCTACACTCTTACCTTTGGTTTACAGTTAAGATTCACAATTTGAAATCAGTCATACACATAGTAAGATGTTTGATAATCTCAGCATGGGGGTAAAAGAGGGGCAGACAGACAATGGAAGTAAAAGAGGAAGGATGGCTTTAATTTTCTGGGGCTTGAGTTAATTTCGGTTCAGGCTTTACTACAGATATCTCTCCTTTGGAATTATTTTACCCAATTGTTCTTTGATATTTGTTTTATACACTCTATTCCTATGGTATATATTCATGTAGAATATGGGATAGACTTCTTGGAAAATTTAATTTTAATTGGAATTTAAATTCTTTTGCTTTTGAGAGTTAATGACTGCCTTATGAAATATTTGAGGCACCCTTCTGAATTAGAATTTGGAATCACTGTGTTAGAAGAAGGGCTGGAGAGGAGTATGATCTTATTTATTTGAAGGTTTCTTATGAAAGAGACGTAATCAAGAGAAAAGCAGTTAACAGTAGAGGGTATAAGTATTGGAGTCAGAGAAACTTGTAGCTCTGATACTTGCCTGATGTAGGATCTTGGGCTACTTAAAGATGAATCTTTCTGAGCCCCAGTTTCCTCATCTTTAATAGGAAGGATAAGAATACCTTCTCTTGGAGGTAGTTTTAGGGATTCAGTGTTATGATGTGGTTAAAGTGCTTGTCTTGTAATAAATCTTTAATAATAGTAACTGCTTGGGGCACCTGGGTGGCTCATCGGTTGAGCATCTGACTCTTGGTTTCGGTTCAGGTCATGATCCCAGAGTCATGGGATCAAGCCCCAAGTTGAGTTCTGTGCTGAGCATGGAGCCTACTTAAGATTCTCTCTCTCGCTCTGCCCCTTTTCCTTGCTTGTGCTCTCTCTCTCTCTCAAAAAAAACAGTAACTGCTTTTAATTATGCCTGTGGTTGTTATTCAAAGCTTTCAGAGGAAGTCAGTACTGATTAGGGACTCAAATGGGATAAAATGTTCTAGATTGTTTAGAATATATTTTAGATTTGGGCATTACACAAATATTGAGCACCTTTATATTCAAGGCCCTGTGTTATATACTGAGGGGGAAACAAAGGAGAATTAAATACATTTCCTGCCCTCATAGTGTACCTAATCTAATGGGGGACTTGAGGAGTATTACACTCAATGTTAATAAGACAGAGAGGTACTACAGCATAGGAGAGCTCAGAGGAAGAACTGATTATGGAAGGTAGGTGGTTATTAGATGGTCTTAAAGAATGAGTAGACCTTTACTAGATGGAGATGACAGGAAGGTTAAAAATAGAGCATAAATCTGAGTGTGAAGGCATTTTATAATAGGACATATTTGGTGAGTGGTGAGCAATTTGGTGTATCTGGACTGTCTTATTCATTTTAGAAAATGTGTAACATAAGACAGGCTTGAATTGGTTCATTAAGAATTAGTGAAGGCAACTTTAGTTATAACTAAAAGCTATAACTTTTAGTTAGTTTAGTTTTTCAATTTAGTGAAAATTAAGATTTGACTTGAGTACACAAATTCCAATTTTTAGTTTATGATTTGGTTTGAGTTCTTGGTACTCATCAGCTATATCTAGATTATCAGCTCTGAACTCCTGTGATTTCCTTACTATACTGGAGATTTCGGATTATAGAACTGAATTATTTTGTCAGGATTGTATCTTGACTGCTTTGTGCTTAAAACAGTCCTAACGGGCAAAACTGCTGACATTTAAGTTTATTTTCTTTTATCTTTCAAGACTTCAGCACATATAATTGAAGAAGAACTAAAGGAACAGCTAAGAAAAAAACAAGAAGCTCTGAAGCATTTTCAGAGACAAGTCAAACACCGAGTAAATCAACAAATGAGGCTGAGAAGAAAGCAACAGCTTCAGAGATCTTATGTAGCAGTGAGTTCAAAAGAAAAGCTGTATTTTATTCTTATGTTGTTCTGGCTCATTTTTTTTGCTTTCACCAAATAATCAAAAACAATGTCAGAATTTTGGATTTGGGTTTGAATTTTGGCTTTGATGCTTACTAGCTCTGTCACCTTGGGCTTATTACTTAACTTCTCTGTACTGTAGTTTCTTTATAAAATGAGGCTATGGTACTTGTCTCACAGTGTTGTTAGGAGAATTAGACAGAATTATTAGCACATTATGGGTGCCTGGGAAATGTTAGTTTCTTTGTTTGCTAAAGCTTTCACCTTTCTGCCCTTGACCCTGACTTAAAGTCTTTTGGGATGCTTATAGGCATTATTTGATTGTTTTGGCCTGGAGCGGAATCTCACTAGAAGAATCTCAATCTTTCTTCCTTTGTGTAGGCAGAAAAAGAAGGCTCTATAGCCATGCAATCCTCAGATCCAGCACATTTAACTCCTAAAAGAACAAGTGTTTTTCCAAAGAACTTGAATGCTGCTATTGGAAGTGCTAGGTTACCTCCTTCCCAGATGCTTGGGGACGGACTAGAAGATAGAGAGAATCAGAATGAATTATTTCAACAACAAGCCCAGGCTGTAAGTACATACTCTTTTTATGCCTATGATTTTCTTTAGACACACAACGTATCTAGAATATGAAATAGAGATTAGGAGGTATCACACTCAAATTCACTTTTAATTACCTTTTATTTATTTATTTATTTATTTATTTATTTATTCATTCATTCATTCATTCTTTTTACCTTTGTAAAGTGGGGAATGGCGGAATGATGTTTATTTTTTATACATATTTTAAACTTATTTATTTTCGGTAAGACAATTTAGGACCATCTAAAGGAAGGTGCCAGAGTGTTAGAGTTAAAAACTTATGAGAGAGCTTTAAGTTAAAGAACATAGATTTTTTTCCCAATTATACTGGAATTGTGTTATGGGTAAATTATTGTTTGTGGAATATGGACAGAACTGATTCCTAACCTCTTTTGCAAAAAAGTACAGTACGTATATGGGGCATTTCATTCATTATTTTTGTCTCTTTTTCCTCTTTTCTATCCTTTAGTCTGATAATCATAACAAATAGATCTATAGGTTGAGTAATAATATGGTAAACTCTTGACATAGAATTTTTTTTGAATAACATATCCTAAGTAATTGATTTTACATATCTGTTATTTAAAAATTAACCACATGAGTAGATTCCTCCGTTCTGAAATCATGTGAGATCACACACTCAACTCTCCTTAGTGTACCTGAGCTTTTTGTCCAGGTGCTACCATATTCTTCACTGTCCAGTTGATACCATATTCTTCAACTCTGCTCTCATTGAAAATGTATTTCTAGGGATAGTGAGAGGAGAGCAAAAGCATAGAAAATGATGATTATGCGAAAATAAAAGTTTCATAACTGCTAACGTGCTTGGTCATAAATATGAAGGGATTGTATAGTTAGTATAAATAGGGAAAGCTTTATAAGCATATACTATATTGAAATACTTAAAAATTTTTTTTCTTTGTCTAAACTATGGCTTTTTCTTGCCATTGCTTGGTTTGTAGTAATCATTTTAAAAATGATTTTTGTTTTCCTTTTTAAGGTTATGAACAATCTCTTGAGCAAACGTTTATTGAGTCAGGCACTTTATAAAGTATTAGGGGTAGGGCATTGATGTAAGGAGACACAGTTGTTGCCTTCATGGTGCTCCTGGCTGTAATGCCACTGTAGGGAGGATTTTACTTCATCTGTATAGTACATAAATAGAACACATCAGTTCACAGATATTTCAGTGTGTTGTGTTTGTTAAACATTATACAAATGGAATGCAAAATAGGACCCTTCATGGGTTTACATTTCCAAATAGAAATGCAAAGCTGATAGATTATCTATTGGATAACAATATAGAGATATATGCTGTCTTTGGTGATAAAGTTGCACTGTGGAATTTCAAAAATTTTTTCAAAGGAAATATTTCCTGGAAGAGGTGGAATTGAGCTGTATATCTTGAATTGGTAAGGTGAATTGAATTGGTGAATTGAAGAGAATTTTGAGATAGGAGGAACAGTTAAGAGTACAAAATATACAATGAGCTTGGTATATTTGGGAATAAGTGATGGAACCTTTCTGATTGATAGTTTATAGAGGAGGATGACAGAAAATGAGGTTAGGTAGGAGGAGATCGGGTTATGAAAAGCCTGAAATGTTACAAAATTAAGAAAAAACTTTGTACCTTGTTTTTTTCTTAAAAGATGAACTACTGAAGAATGTTCAGTGACCTAAACTATTTTAAGCCTATAAGCTTTCACTCAAACAGCACCATGGCAATTGATGCTTTCTATTTGTTGCAGATTTAAAACAATTTTTTAAAAAACATGTTATTTTTGAGAGAGAGAGAGACTTACATGTGCATGGGAGAGGCAAAGAGAGAAAGAGACAGAAAATCCTAAGCAGGCTCAGCAGAGAGCCCAGCACAGGGCTTGAACTCAGGATGTGAGATTATGATCTGAGCAGAAAGTGAGAGTCTGACACTTAACCAACTGAGCCACCTAGTTGGTCCTTTGTTGCAGTTTTTATCCACTAGATGTCACTACGAACTAGACAGTGAGGCGTTCAAGCACTAACTCCCTTGATTTATCTAGAAGTAGTTGAGTAAATGGTGAATGTAATTCACTTTCTGGATGTTGGTGGACTTTTCAATTTTCTTGTGTCACAGAGTGATAGAAACATAGAATCCTGGAGCTGGAGAGTTTTAAAAGTTCATCTGACATATTGAAATACTTAAGGATAAAATGATTTGAATTTGGGGTATACTTCCAAGTAATGTAAAGGTGAGGTGAAATAGGGCATTATTGATAAATTAAGATTGGCCAGGAATGTAGTGGTAAAACTGGTTGGTATGTATGTGAGGTTCATTATAGCTTCAGTTTACTATATATTTTGACATTTCCAATATGTTTGAATTTACTTACATTTTTAAAAATCTTTTTTAAAGTTTATCTTTTAGTTGTTGTTGTTGTTGATAGAGAGGCAGAGAGGAAAGATCTAGAGAATACCAACCAGGCTCTTGTGCTACTAGCACAGACTTGAACTCATGAACTGTAAGATCATGACCTGAGCTGTAATCAAGAGTCTGATCCCCAACCAACTGAGCCACCCAAGAGCCCCTGAATTTATTTACATTTTTAATTAAATGTTAGGAAAGAAAAGACATTACCTAGTCTAACCTTTCTTTCTCTAAGAAATTCTTTTTATATTGTCTCTAGTTTCTGCTAGAACCCTGCCACTGTTGAACAACTGACCACTCTTGAGACTATTTCATTTTTAGAAATCTTGAAATTATTAGAAGTATTTTATCAATATACTGAGTCAAAATTTTCCTATAATTTTTACCTATTGGGCCTAGTTTTGCACTCTCAAGTAATAGAAAATAAAATACCATGGTCATCTCTAAGACACTTCAGGTATTTGATTATAGCTATCATTTCTCTCTCATTTTTTCTATTTTTGGGAGAGAGAGAGAGTGCATGTGTTTGCACATGGGGGAGGGGCAGAGAGAGAGGGAGAGAGAGAATCTTAAGTGGGATCTGTGACCAGCACGGAGCCCAATACAGGGCTTGATCTCATAACTGTCAGATTGTGACCTGAGCCAAAATCAAGAGTTGGATGCTTAGGGGCGCCCGGGTGGCTTAGTCGGTTAAGCGTCTGACTTTCGCTCAGGTCATGATCTCGCGGTTCGTGGGTTCGAGCTCCGCGTCGGGCTCTGTGCTGACTGCCAGCTCAGAGCCTGGAGCCTATTTCAGAGTCTGTCACTCCCTCTCTCTCTGACCCTCCCCTGCTCATGCTGTCTCTCTCTCTCCTAGAAATAAATAAAACATTAAAAAAAAAAAAAGAGTTGGATGCTTAATCACTGAGCCTCCCAGGCGCCCACCATTTTTCTCTTTTGATTTTTATATTCTTAATGCTTTCAGTCATTATAATCTTGGTTGATTTCTTCTGAACGCTAATTAGTTTTTCAATGCTCTTTCCTAATTTGACCTTCAAAACTGAACATGGCACTGTACCCCAACATGTGATTTTGCTAGGACCTCTCTTATTCTGGACCCCCCACCCTAGCCTTCACTTATAATACTTTGTGTTACCTATTTATTCTAAAATAGATAAGATTGGGTACCTAAGGTTAGCCACTGTAACCATAAAACTGGAAGAAATTTCAAGTGTTCCCATAAAATAGAACTAGCTTAGCCCCCTTCTTTTGTTAAGACTGATATTTATCTATAGGGATTGAGTTTCATTTTGGTTGGGAATCGAAGAACAGCTGATCATTGTTTCATTCAAACCATGTAATAATGTTTTAATTATACACTATTAAGTTTACCACTATTTCCTAGCATGGGATATCTTAGCTTTTTTTTCTCACTGGATTTTTTATTATCTTGTTTTTTATTTTTATTCTTTCCAGCCTTTTCAACCCTGGTAATGCCAATTACTTTTCATAATTAAGAAAGATTTAAGCAATGTGAAATAACCTGATAAGTTTTCTTAATCTATCACTGGAAAACTATTGTTTCAGTTAGGCTCTTTGGCTGCAAGACTTCATTTTATTTCAAGAACATGCATGGGATAATAATTACAGAATCAGAAACTCACACAAATCTAAGCTCCCTTAGGATTGTGTGGCCAGACAATTTTTCTGGATCTGAGGTAGCTCCAGTGAGCACAACAGAATACTTTGATCTTCACATTAGTATTTAATTAACAACTTGATTGGTTCGGTTCTCGTAGGGGGACCCACCTTCCTTGTTGCCCGAGGACATAAGACCTTCAGTGCTAAACCTGGACAATTCCAGGCAAAGTGGGAGTGTTCCCTTTCTCTTCACATATGTTTCTTTCCTGTTTGCTCCATTTTCTTCTAACTGGTGTTCTCATCATCACAGCTCTGAAACTTGGGCACACTTATGGCTCAGTTAGCCTCTTTTCTCCGTGTCGGGCCTTTTAGGTTCAGTTCCTGTGTCTGATTTCTCATACTTCCTAGTTCGTTATGTAAGATAAGGAATCTTCATTATCTTAGCCTGCCTTTTTGTGCAAGATCTAGGTTATTCGTGAGCCTATAGCCTGGGAGGCCCACTTAATAATTTGATTTGTAACACCCCCCTATTTTCTATATTTTTGTTTAATGCTTATGAATATTGTCTTTGGTCTTTGTATTTGTTTCTTGTGGCTGCTGTAACAAATTACCTCAAACTTAGCGGCTTGAAATGAATAATTAATTTTCTCAAAGTTCTTGAGTCCAGAAGTCTAAAATCAGTTTCACTGAGCCAAAATGAAGGTATCAGCAGGGCCTCTTCCACAGATTCTGGGAGAAAATTTGTTCCTTGACTCCTCTGGTTTTTGGTGTCTGCTGTCACTGCTTTGCTTGTGGTCACATCATACCGATCCCTGCTTGTCTTTACATCACCTTCTCTTCTGTGTGCCATATCTTCCTCTACCATCTCTCTCACGAGGACAGTTGGGATGGCATTTAGGGCCCATATGGATAGTCCAGGATTATCTCCTCACCTGAAGACCCTTAATTTAATAATATCTGCAAAGGCCCTTTTTTCTTATAAAGTAACATTTACAGGTTTCAGGGATTAGGACCTGGTGTCTTTAAGTGTCCATTAGCCTGTTACAGTCCTCATAGCTGGACCTTGAAAGGGCCTTCGGGTTGAGGTTTGATGAAGGGTTATGGTAATGACAGAGAAATGGAAAGTCAGTGTATATATTCCAACTGCTGGGCCAGTTGAAATATTCTGCTTAAGGGACTAAAATCAATCTGTGACTCTAATAGAGGTTTGGGCTTGTTGGGAGATGAGATTAGGTATCCTTATTTTAAATCAGTTACAATGGCTATTTTGAATCCTTGGTCACATTGTGCAAGGCAATAACATCTAGTAGGCAAAGAGTAAAAGCAGGCACCTTTGTGGCTCTGTATTTTTTATAACCTTAACTGTACATATATCTCTTTTTACAGTATGATTACCTCTATCTTGACCCCTGTAGCCACTCTGCTAACTAAAGTCCTCCTATCTTAGGGGCGCCTGGGTGGCTTAGTCGGTTAAGCATCTGACTTCGCCTCAGGTCATGATCTCATGGTTCATGAGTTTGAGCCCCACATTGGGCTCTGTGTTAATGGCCCAGAGCCTGGAACCTGCTTCTGATTCTGTGTTTCCCTCTCTCTCTGCCCCTCCCTGGCTTGTGCGCTCGCTCGCTCTCTCTCTCAAAAATAAATAAACATTAAAAGTAATTTTTTAAAAATGAAGTCCTCCTTTTAGTAGAATAAAGAGTAATGTTTCAAGCTGATTTCTCTGGCTAGAGGTGTAGATCTTTAGAAGCAAGGACAAAACATAGGTGATGCGCTGTAAGGAAACTGCACTAGTAGTGAGAGTGCTTTTATCCCTAGCTCACCATTAGTAAAAACCAAAGTGTTTGTTATTTTTATCTGTAAATCATGGTTATGATTTGCCTTCAAGGGAGAATTGATATCATTAACTTTTATTGGATGGGTTAACTGGTCCTAGTTTTGCCTTCATTTTGCTGAGTAGTATAAGGATATGCTTTTCTTCCACATGATATAGTGCTCAGCCTAGAAAATGGTACTTTGTTCATTTCTGTATTTTCCTTAAGGGAACATTCTGTGCAGATTTGTGAAAAATAAAATAGGTTATGCTTTTCTGAAAAATAAAATAGGTGCTTACTGAAATGACCAGATAGATGTAAGGAATGAACACAAACTCAATGTATTTAATATTAATACTCATTATCAGCTGTTACTTACAGTACTTGCAACAAATGGGTTCTGTTGAGATGTTAGAGTTTGTGTTCTGAGTTAAGTTAAAAAGGCTTCCTGGAAGAAGGGGGGTTTGAGAAAAGACTTTGAATAGCTATAGGTTTCAAATGCTAGGGACGAAAAAGGGATTCTTGTAAATAGGAAAAAAAGATTTTAGAGGGACTAGGAATGGAGTCCTTTAGCAAGGAGTGGTAAAAGTGATTGGGCGTGCAAGGACTATTTTAAGAAATAACTCCTTATTGAGAAGATGGATTGAAGGTAAGGAATGTATCTGCTGATACTTTCTAAGTTTATTAGAACTTTTAGGTTCTGATATTTTTGTGTACATTCTTAATACAAAGCGTATGTTGTTGAAAAATGATTTGAATAACAGCACTTAAATCAAGTTATGAAATACAGTATCTTAGAATAATGAAAGTCATGTTGTAAAAATACTATCAGCAGACCACAGTCTCCTTTGCAGATAATCCTCTTGTCTTAGGTCTGGCATTTTTTAATAATAGGGGCCTGTTTTCCTGTTGGAACACTTAGTGAATTTGGTATTAAAACTTTAGCCTGTTTTTGTTTGCTCTTTTTTCCCTTTTCCTGGCAGCTTAGCCAAACCATGAAACAGGCCCGTCACCGACTGGCATCATTTAAGACTGTGAATAAAAAAAATGCATCAGTGTTTCCAGATTGTAGAAGAAAAACCTTTCCCCCCCAAGAGGTAAATTAATTTCTAATAAATTGTTTTAAGAAGTACATGTAAATGGCAATGAGAAACAATGAAATCTGGCCATGTGTAGCAACATGGATGGACCTTGAGGGTGTTATGCTGAGCTAAATAAGTCAGGCAGAGAAGGACAAATATCATATGTTTGCACGTATAGGAGGATTAGGAGGAACTTGACGGAGGAACAAGGGGGAGAAGAAGGGCGGAAATGGTGGGGGAAAGGGAGAGAGGCAAACCATGAGAGACTCTTGAATGCTGACAAAAACTGAGGACTGATGGGTGTGGGGGGGAGGGGGGGATGGGCATGGAGGAGGGCACTTTGGGGATGAGCACTGAGTGTTATGTAGAAACTAATTTGACAATAAACTATTTGTAAAAAAAAAAAAAAAAAAGAAGTACATGTAAAGATTTATTTATATCTCAACATTATTCAGAACTGTAAAAATAACTGGAAATAACCTGAAATAGCCAATGGTAGGGAATGGTTAAAAAATTATGGTGTAGTCATATATAGCCATTCTAAAAAAAAAATCATACTTTCAGAGAATATCCAAAGACAGAAGTGTCTGTGATACAAAATTAAGTGTAAAAAGTAGGTTACAAAATTATATATGTATATTGTAAATTAAAAAAAAAAAATGATTCAGCCAATGTTTATGGAATGTCTGTAGTTACCAGGCATTGTTCTAGAAGTAGGACTTAGAGCGGAAAAAAAGTAGACAAAGATCCCTTCAGGAGCATCTGTGCTAGCAGGGAAGCAAATCATAAACAAGCAAATAAATGTAGAATATAATTTCAAACAGTCAGTGTTATAAAAAAGTAAAGATAAAGAGATGGGGAGAGAATACTTTGTGCGGAGACAAAAGCCTAAAAATGAATGGACCAAGAGGTTAATACTGATTATTTCTGGTTAGTGTTATTCCAGGTGACTTTTATTTTCTTCTCTTGGTTTTCCCTATTTAAAAAGTTTTCCATAAAGTATATATTTTACTTTCTAATTAGGAATAAAATCAACACTGTTCTTATTTAAAGATAAATTCTTTTGATTCAAAATACGAGATTAGAGTGAATATTTGGAATGTAAATGAAGAGTTAGACTTAAAAGGATATTTAAGGCTACACTTGTAAAATGACGTTGTTCTGTGCCTGTTTATTTCAGTGTTCACAAATTTGGATGCTAAAAACAAACTCATGTATTTTCCTGTGTTTGCTTAATTTTGTCAAGTTTTGATAGGCAGCATCTAATAAAATGGACCATCTCATCTTTTTTACTTTTTTTTGTGTGTGTGGACCTCATCACCTCTGTCTCTTAGTTCTTTCTTAGTTTTGATTTCTAGAGTGTGTGTGTATGTGTGTGTCTGTGTATAATATTTTTATATTTTTTCTTAAGTGTCTCAACACAATCATCAAAAACATTTGTCTTTTATATATTTGTAATTTGTAGAATACTAACCTATGTTTCCCTCTTCAGTGATAATAAGACATTTATAATAGTTAAATGTATAAATATATGATGTGTATCACAAATGGCATTCCATCCCAGGTGCATTCAATATAGTTACCCTTTTATAGCATTGCCTTGTTAGGACTCTCAAGATAGAATTTGTTTTGTACCAAAATTCTTCTCAGTGGCTATGTTTGGACAGTGACTTTGGTTATCAGATCCTAGAGACTGATATTTTATGTTGTGTGGAACATGTTCAAACCTTTCAATTGATACTTTTCCAGAAAAAGTACTACTTACAGATCTGACAGAAATAATTATCCAATAGAAGGGAGAAGGATTAAGTCTGAGATAACATCCTTGTATAAACCAGCTTAATACGTCAGAGATGTCATTAAATGTAATTCGTGATGATGATGATGATGATGATGATGAATTCAGACTTGCTGCTTGCTGCTTCCAGAGAGTACATGTGTATTTTTCAGCTAAAACATTGGAAACAAATCACCATAGAAATGAGAATGATGTAAGAAATTAGTGAAATTTTTCGTATTTCTTATATCATGTATGTGGTCTTTCTCTCAATTCTGAATAGTTTTCTACCCCCTTGGTTTTGTGAAGCGGAAGTCTGCCAGTCAGAAAGGACAGTCTGTAACCTAGTTGAACTCTGGTTTCATTTCCTTGTTAGACTTCTGTTTACTGACCTTAGAATCTGTCTGGTTGTTTTTGTTATTCCAGATTTGGAGATATAGTCAGAAGATATACTTGCTTGCCCACTGTTGGGTCACCAAGATAAAATCATAAGCCTCCTAAAATTGTTACTGGCTGGCATAGGAACAAATGGTCATTTATAAGGTTAATATATTCTCCTACCAGCCTATTTCCCTCCATATGTTTGATATGTGATGATTTGTTAGTAAATCTGAAGTAGAACTACTTGTTTTTCTTTATTCTGTATTAAACCACCATAATCTGCTAAAATTACTTCAGATCTTTCACAAAAACTCAACCCAGTGAGCATATTACTTTCTGTAGACCATTTATATTTGTATTATTTTATTTTTTTAGAAAACACTTTGTAGGAAACCATCATCCCTCAAGATGAATATAGGAAAAAGGACAATTGCCCTTTAAGTTTCATCAAGGTCTTTGGACTTTTAACTACTTTGCATTACCAGAAATTTATAGAAAATCAGGGAGGGAAATGTAGAGTAGGAGGAAAAAATAATGGCTTGTTAGAGCCATCCACAGCTAATTAAAGTTGGGCTTAAGGGTTAAAATTCTACTGTCCAGTAGTGTTTTTCTTTCTAACAGTTTTATTGAGATATAATTTATATACCACACAGTTTACCCACTTAAAGTATACATTTCAAGTAGTTTTTAGTGTATTCACGGGTTTGTGCAATTGTCAACATAATCTAGTGTTTGTAACACTTTCTTCACTCCTAAAAGAAACCATATTCTCATTAATTGTCACTTCCTGTTCCCTCCCTTTCTCTACCCCCAGTCCTAAGTAACTACTAATCTATTTTCTGTCACTATATAGATTTGCTTATTTCTGGGCATTTCATCTAAATGGAATCATATAACATATGGTCTTTTGTGACCTGGTTTCTTTCATTTTGCATAATGTTTTCAAAGGTTATTTTTGTAGAATGTATCAGGACTTCATTCCTTTTTATTGTTGAATAATATTCCTTTTATGGCTCTATCACATTTGGTATATCCATTCAGCAGTTGATGGACCTCTTGGCTTTTATGAATACCTGTGCTACAAACACTTGTATACATGTTTTTGTGTGGATATTCCTTTCTTTAGTAGTGAAATTTGGAGGTTATAGGGAAACTCTGTGTTTGTCATTTTGAGGAACCGCCAAACTGTTTTCCATCAGCAGTGTATGTGGGTTCCAATTTCTCCACATCCTCCTCAATGCTTCTTTTTGCCCTTCTTTTTGATTATTGCCATCTTAGTGGTATGAAGTGATATCTCACTGTACTTTTGATTTGTGTTTTCCTTATGACTTAAGATCTTGAGTATCTTTTCATGTGCTTATTGTCCCATTTATACGTCTCTTATGGAGAAAATGTATAGTCAAATGTGGTGGTGCCCATTTTTTAATTGGGTTATTTGTTTTTTTATTATTGAGTTATAAGAGTTCTTTATATATTCTGGATACATGTCCCTTATCAGATACATGATTTACAAATATTTTCTCTCATTCTGTAGATTGTCATTTCACTTTCTTCATGCCATCATTTGTACAAAATTTTAATTTTGGTGTAGTTCAATTTGTTTTTTCTTTTGTTGCTTGTGTTTTTGATTTAGTATCTAATAAACCATTGCTTAATCTTTTTTTTAAGTTTGCCTAGCCAGATGCTTAACTGACTGAGCCACCCATGTGCCCCAACCATTGCTTAATTTCAAGTCATCAATGTTTTCTACTATGTGTTCTAAGAATTTTATAATTTTAGTTCTTACATTTAGGTCTATGATCTATGTGAGTGAATTTTTATATGTGGTGTCAGGAAGTGTTTTCACTTAATTCTTTTTGCATATGAACATCCACTTGTTTCAGTACCATTTGTTGAAAAACTATTCTTTCTCCATTGAATTTTCTTGGCACTCTTGTTCAAAATCAGTTGACTGTAAACGTGAGGGTTTATTGATGTCTCAATATTATCTTCAGAGATCCATGAAAATTGGATGTTTTTCCATTTATTTAGATATTTTTAAATTTTGTTCAACAGTGTTTCATAGTTTTCAGTATATAGTCTTATGCTTCTTTTGTAACATCCTGTTTTTATAATATTTGATTATATTGACTTTCTAAATTATATTAAAAGTGTGCTGAAGCCTAGGATTTTATTGTAATTACATTATTTCTACTTGTAATAGGTATTTATTTTTTCATTTAAAATTTTTTAAAAATATTTATTTATTTTTGAGAGATAGAGTGATCCAGAGCATGAGCAGGGGAGGGGCAGAGAGAGAGGGAGACACAGAATCCGAACCAGGCTCCAGGCTCTCTGAGCTATCAAGCACAGAGCCTGATGCAGGGCTCTAACCCACGAACCGTGAGATCATGACCTCATCCTGAGCCGAAGTCGGATGCTCAACTGACTGAGCCACTCAGGTGCCCCTATTTTTTCATTTTTGATTGTGTGTTTTCTAAGAACCTGACTCTGAGGAATCTTCATCTATTTTTTTTTAATTTTTTTTAATGTTTAGTTTTTTTTGAGAGACAGAGATACAGGGTGCGTGCAGGGAAGGGGCAGAGAGAGATGGAGACACAGAATCTGAAACAGGTTCCTGGCTCTGAGCTGTCGGCACAGTGCCCACATGGGGCATGAACTCACGAACCATGAGATCATGACCTGAGCTGAAGTCAGATGCTTAACCAGCTGAGCCACCCAGGTGCCCCGGAATCTTCATCTATTTTGATAGATAAGAAAGGGAGAGAAAATTTGTTTGGGGGAGACCAACAGGATCTCCTTTCTGAAGACAGGGACAAGCCTTTCAGCAGAGTTCAGGTAAAGCAGAGTGAAAGGAGGTAGTATAATAGAAATTAAACTAATAGTGATTTGGACTAGGACGCCAGTATTGTTGTACTGGTTTGGGATTATAGATTTTGATTGTGTTAAGTTGAGCAAAGATCCTGATTTCCCATTTTATTCTAGTAATCTGTTTGACCACTATATCTTCCTGAGATTATTTTAGGAATCTAATGGAAAACCTAGAGTGTTGCTACTACGTGGCATTCTATATTTGATGTTTATGTTCACTTTTAGAAAATACAATTCAAAAATCCATTACTTGCTGTGATGAAAGAGGAAGAGCAAAAGAAGTTAGATCTTCAAGGCCTTCAGGATATTCTGCCAGAAGCCCAGGATTATCTTCCAGAAGCCCAAGGTGATCTGCTGAAAACCCAGGGTGATTTGACAGAAGTCCAGGGTGTTGAGCTAGAAGCCAGGAGTACTGAGCCAAGGCTCAGTACCCAGGCTGTTGAGGTGGAAGGCCAAGCTATTGAGCCTGAAGCCCAGGCTATTGAGCCTGAAGCCCCGGCCACTGAGTCTAATGCCCAGGCTGTTACGGCAGAAACTCGGGATATTATGCCAGAAGCCCAGAATATTGAACTAGAAGATGGGAGTGTTGTGTCTGAAGTCCAAGATTTGCTACCTGAAGAACAGTGTGTTCTTCCCAAAGACCAGAATATTCTACTCAGATGTCAGGACCAGGACTTTCTACCTAAAAACCAGGATTTTCTACCCGAAGACCAGAATATTCTACCCAGATGTCAGGACCAGAATATTCTCTCTGAAGACCAGAATATTCAATCCAGATTTCAGGACCAGGATTTTCTACCCAGAGACCAGCACCAGCATTTTCTACGCAGAGACCTGGTTGTTCTCCCCAGAGTACAAGATTTTCCACCCAGAGATCAGGTAAAAGAGAGTAGAAAGGAGTTATAACAAGAAAAAAATAGCTAGTTAAATTTTGGAGTGGGATTTGGAAGGACTAAATTGCAGCTGATTTGGAGAATCATAGTTGGAAAAAGTAGTTTTCTCAGTAATTTCTCAAAAGTCGAGGGTTCTCATTAAGTGGTGAAGTATTAGCAGCAGCATATTACCCCTGTCTGGACAGTTTACTTTTTTTCTTTTTAAATCTTCAAATTAGGAAAAATATTTCTGGCACTCATTATCTGCTTTGATAGCTGAAAGATGGAAAAAGGCATAGCCTGCAAGTGTCCAACAGTATCTTTTACTATTCAAGTTCCAAGGCCAGCCTTCTACCAGAGATCAGTTAGACAAAAATGAGAAGAAAGGAATCAATAGGAAGCAATTTATGTAGGGTCATAACTGGACTTATGTGGAACAGAGTATAGTGTTTTCTTTTATTCCATAACATGTTCAGTTAAATTCTGACCTCAGTTAACTCCAGAATTCTCACTACAGCCTGAAGTATTTCTTGGTTAACCTGTCTTTCTTAACTGAACAGTTGATATTTTTTGTTTGTTCTCTTTTTTTCTTTTAATATTTTTTTATTTCTAGGAGAGAGAGAGAGAGATTGTGTGTTTTGGTGTGTTTTAGATAGAGAGGGAGACACAGACTCTGAAATAGGCTCCAGGCTCTGAGCTGGCAGTCAGCACAGAGCCCGATGCAGGGCTCGAACCCACGAACCACGAGATCATGACCTAAGCGAAAGTCGGATGCTTAACCGACTAAGCCACCCAGGCGCCCCTTGTTTGTTCTCTTTTTAGGAGGCGAATTTGAAGGAGCCAGCATCAATTTTGATAGACAAGAGAGGGAGAGAGGCGTTTCCCCTGGATATCCATCAGGACCTTCCACACAACTGTCAAGATCAGGCCTCCATCAGGGACAAGGTAGAACAGAAAAAGGAGAGAGACCAGCAGGCACTGAATTGTTCAGAGTTTAGTTTGGAACTTGCAGTGGTTGTTCTCAGCTAGACTTCAAAAATGACAAAAAGCATGGCTTTCTGTTTTATTCCATACATCACATTATCTTGAGTTAAAAAAAATTACTGTAAGGGTTTCAATAAAGCCTATAATTATTGCTATCATATTACTCCCACTGGACAATTTATAATTAGTGTTTTTGTTTTCTTTTAGAAAGTACGCTTCAAGGAGTTGTATTCTGGTATGTCAAGTGAGAAAGGGAGAGAAGGCTCATCTCTGGCAAGTTATCAGTATCTGCCTCCTCAGCTCCAGGACTATACCTTCATCAGAGATCAGGTAGAGCCGAATGAAAAGGAAATAAACAGGAGATAAAGTAACTGGGGTAAAGTAACTGGGTTTTGTATATTCTCAATAATTGGTAATGTGAAGTATAGAATCAGGTGCAAAAGACCCTGGTTTAGTGAATGTATTCAATCAAATCAGTTCTGTCATTTGTAAGGTTGATAAATCACATTCATTCTTAGCGTAGAATCAGACCATTTTAGTTTACTATGATTTACTAAGTTTACTAAGATTATGCTACAACTTCTGCCAAAGCCCACAGTGTTACCATAAACATACCGTCCCTACATGAACAGTGCAGGAAAAAGTGGCAGATTCCAAATTACTTAATATATGAGGGGTTTGTCAGACTATTCTGTTCATGGTTTAGGATTAAAAATTCAGGTCTACAGAGTTGAGCTTAAAGTATTACATTCTTATTCAAGTGCAGATGTATCAGAATATTCTCACCTGGTGCTATTTCCCTGGAGTTCTCACCAAAGCCTATAATATTAGATTAGCACATTGCCCTGGCCAGACCATTTGTTTTCTACTTTTATTCCTTTAGAGCGTATTTCTCAAGCTACTGCCGTCTTTTATGAGAGCAAAGAGAGAGAGAGAGGTGAATCGCCTCTGGAGTACTATTAGTATATCAGTATGTTAGGCCTAAAAGCTAGGACTGAGCCTCTCCTAGAGAACATGTAGAGCAAAACAGTGGGAGGACTGTCTCCTTCCTGAAAGAGTAACAGAGACAGAATTACTTCAGGTTTGGGTTGGAGCTTATCAAGCTAGTGTGCATGTAGGCTACATAGAGAGAAAGCTACTGGAGGGAAGCCAAGAGCATGACGTCTTCAGTTATTTCGAAATGTGCCAGACCTAAAGTCTGTCCAGGTGAGGAAGCATGCCTGTCATTGGGGTTAACCAAGGGACAGGGTTTGTGTAGTATTGATTGGTTAACAGTAAATAATTCTTTGTAAACTCATGTCCTGGAGGCTTATTTGGCTTTCTGCATTTAGTCTTATAAATACCGAAGGGCTTCTGCTCTTGGCCAGCTGAGGCAGTACACCACAACCAGGCATCCAGTCTGCAAACAAACCAGTTAGGATGAAGGACAAAACAAGTGGTTTGCCACCTCAGAACTTCCTGAACTTTACCACCTCTAGTGTTTGCGTGTGGAGTTACTGGGGACAATGAGTAGGAGTACTTGTGGAAATGACACAAGCTTGTGTTCTGGCTGTACCGTGGAAAAATGTTAGCAACATTATAAAAATACTGCTTTTGTTGCCTTATCTGCTTCCGGTTGTTGAATAAGGGGATACCCCATGCCAAAAAAAAAAAAAAAAAAAGGACCAGAATAATTTGGGATTTGCTTTAAAATAGTCCAGGAAAAAAGTGGGAAAAGAGATAGATCAAAAAATATGTTACTAATTATTGAAGTTGGGGATGGATATGTTGGGATGCATTATACTATTTTCTTTCCTACTTTGATTTATATTTGGGAGTTTTGTATTAACACATGCAAGCACACGTGCTCACCAATTCTGTTATTTATCCTCCCCTAGTATCATGATTTTGGAGTTTTCAGTGACATCTACAAATCATTGCTGCTTACACAGTTTTATATTTTGTTCTTCCTTTAGAACAAGTATCGCGAGCAACCTGCATCTTTTGAGAAATGGGAGATTGAAAGAGGAATTGCTTCTGGAGTGCCATCGGTATGTTTCACCCAGTTTTTAAGACCTAGTCTCTCTCAGGGGATAAGTAGAGCAGAGTCGAGTGAGGAGTAAGTAGCAGAAAATAAATTGCATAGGCTTTGCCTCAAATTTAATAGGGCAGTATAGTAACTGCTTAGGGATTTAGTGTGAAGGTCAGTAATAATGGGCCAAACTTTAAAGTCCTCTTGTTCTGTGACATATCACACCATTCTGACCTGTTGAAACTCCTTCAGGCCTCTTCACTGAGGCTTTTACTGTTGCCCTGGCATGATGCTCCTGCTTAGACAATTGATGTTCAATGTTTACTTTGTCTTTTAGCACCAGAACTATGGGCAGGCCTTACATAATATGACAGATGAGCGATGGAGAAAGGAGTTATTTCCGGAGTGCTGTGAATATGTTTTACATGATATCCAGGATCCAGGTGCTGCCACAGAGCAGGTAGAGGAGAGTATAATAAAAAGTAAACACCAGAAAGTCAATTAAAGTTTGATCTGGGCTTGCCAGAGCTATGCTTCTAACAACAGCTGCTGCTGGTGTTATCTCTTATTCACGCTATCAATAATATTGTCAGTAATATTATGAATAACAGCTTACGTTCATTAAACACTTTCCATAACTAAAATAGTCCTAGAACTTTGTGTCCATTGTCTCATTTCTCATTTTCACAATAACCTACGGGAGACAGATACTATTATTATCCTTGTTTTGTGGACAAAGAAGCTCATGGATGATTGCATCATGGATATAGTTAAGATCCATCATAGCGGCACCAAGTGAAATGTGTACTCTTATGCCGTAATGTGTCAGACTGTTCTGACCTGCATAGAGTACGTCAGGGCCGTTGCTGCAGCCTGCAGTCCTTGTACTAGTATTATGTCACTGCTCACATATTGGGAGTGCTTTCGTATCTTTTAGACCTTATACTTCGGGCAGCAGCCATCCGTTGGGACAGCAGAAAGACAGCAAGAGGATTTGTTTCTGGATGGCCGCCAGCAGCTTCCACCCAAGCACCAGAGAGAGGGTTCCAGCAGAAGACAGGTAGAGTATGAGTCATGGAATTTAGAGAGGATTGGTCTGCAGGTGCTCAGGGTGAGCAAAAAGCAGATTCTTATTTTATTCCATAGTGTGTAGAATGTATCCTGACTCAAGATTACATTACTTCTCTCACGGAAACCTAGGGTATCATCAGGGGCACTCGTTGCCTATTGGAAGAGCTATATTTTATATGTACTTTTTTTTGGGGGGGTGGGGAAGAGGTATTATTTCTGGTGTGAGGGGGAAGAAGAAGTGAGTGGCTTCTGAGGGAGAGGGGTTGGGAGGGTCTTCTACCCAGTGGTCCGGCCTAGAGCCCTGTCAGGAAGTTGGGAGAGCATAAGATGGGCTCACCAAGAAATAAACTGTTCAGAGTTCAGGCTAGAGCTTGTTAGGGTTTATATATATATATATATATATATAAGCTTTGACGTACTGAGTTAAGATCTATAGTTTTTCAAGAAAATGTTACAATATTCTGGCCTACTAAGATTTTTCCATGGCTTAACTGAAGTCTAGTTTATTCCCACTAGAATTTACCACTGTCTGGATAATTTCTATCTTGTGGTTGTATGTTATTTTAATGATGGAGCCTTCAGACACCCAGTGTTGTTAGGATATATAAAAGAGACAAAGAGGCATTTCCTTTTAGGCCTTTTAAGAGAGCAAGAAGAAAAGGAGCGTAAAGACAGAAAGTAGGATTTGGGCTGAGCTCTTTTTGTAATTTTTAGTTTGGATCTGTGAGGCTGGCCTAGGGATGCTGTCGTGTGTTATTCTACATTGTCACAAAACCTAAAGTAGGTTCTTTCCTACGCAGGTCTGTTGCATATGGTTTTTTCCTAAATAGCCTTCTTGTTTTCTTCTTCACAAAGGTTGTCCCTTCTCTTCCTTGAGGCTTCAGCTTAAAAGTTACCTCCTTTGAGGGGTGCCTGGCAGTTGGTTAAGCGATTGACTTGGGCTCAGGTCAGGACCTCACGGTTCATGGGTTCAAGCCCCGTGTTGGGCTCTGTGCTGACAGCTCAGAGCCTGGAGCCTGCTTCAGATTCTGTGTTTCCCCCTCTCTTTCTGCCCCTCCCCTGCTTGTGCTCTGACTCTAGCTCTCAAATATAAATAAAAATGTAAAAAAAAAAAGTTACCTCCTTAAAAAAAAGACTGTCCTGACCACCTTGTCAAAAATAGGTCTCCCCTCTTCTGTTTTTCTCTGTCGTTGCATTCTCTTTCCTTCTCAGTACACAAAACCATTTATAATTATTTATTTAACATGTTTTCCACTGGTCTGTAAGCTTTATGAGGAGAGGTACCACACCTGTTTTGTTTACGAGTGTATGCCTTTATAGTGCAGTACCTGCTACCTGATGATCTCTTGCTAAATGTGTTTTGAATGAATTAGTCAATCAAGCAAACATTTATTTAGCATTTTGTTAGGTGTTAGCCATTGTTTAAGCACTAAATATCAAAGATACAATTGTGAATCAGAACTCAAGTTTCAGACAGTCTGAAGAAGAGAGACTGACACAGAGGCAGATCATTATGAAGTAACATGATTAATGGCAGAAGGTGCATAGGGCACAGAAGAGGGGTACCTAACCCTGATTATTTGATTGAGGGTGCTGCCTAGGTGCTGCCCTTCTTCATGTCCTTCTGCCATTCAAGCTGTGAAAATCCTCCCCTTTGTCCTTTTAGGCTCCCCAAATAATACAGTCTTGTTGGAAAAAAATATTTCAATAGTGTAGATTTAGATCATTTTTGTACTTAGGGTTTAGAGTCACAGCTGGGTCCCTTGTGCTGCTTAGCATTTTGTCAGCTCCCTCTTCCTATGGGCCACACTTAAAATTGTAAACCTTAAGTACTTCTCAAGTTCTTACTGCATCCCCATACTCTCAGACTTGTCATGAAAACAATAGAACCTATCATGCAGTAACTCCCTCAGCCACTTGCTTTCTTGCCAGTCTTACCTATTCCTGCTATCTCGGAAAAGTTGTCTCTCTTTGGACCATATTGTGGACTATTTTGCCATTTTTTTTTCTCGGTCCAATTTTGAATATTATACTGTGAGACTCTGGCTACTGTTGCAATCCTCTGAAGAATGTTATTTGTTTTTTTGTTCTAGCAGGCAGTCAACCTGGTTAAGTTTATACTAGAAGTTCTTTCTCACTTCATGTGAATACTATCATGAATGTTCGATTCTCAGAGCCTTCATTATACTCCTTTAGGTTCATCCCATGCATGCCCAGCTTAGGGGTGGTTTGGGGGTGTATGCCAATTCATACACAGATTTGAGGAATCCACTTTTCTAGCTCATTCCTCTTCAGGATACCCACCCCTTATACTCTTCCCCCGATACCATGAGCCACATTTCCTGGAATTTTTAGTTAGAATCAGAGACAGAATCAGTGAGAGACAGACAGGTCCATAGTGAGCTTATTATTCTTTGCCAAGTGCTAGAAGTCCAGTTTTTCTTACTTGTTTGAAAGCAGAAAATGTTTCCATTTTTATTGTAGCAAAAGTAAACACAAACAAAAAGAAAAAAGAATCTAAAATTCCAGAGATAACTACTGTCAGCCTCTGTTGTGTATAATTTTCAGATTTTATTTATAACAAATCAGTAAATAGCTTTAAACATAATAGCCTGAATGAGATAAACAGTTGATTCTCATCATCCATGATAGTTATACAAAGTTGCCGCGCACACTGAATTGGTGAATGCTGAACAATTGCTGCCAGGGAAGATAGCAAAGTTAGGTTTTTGTGAGCCTCTGATCACAACATTTTGGTCACTGATCAAAACCTAACTTTATTGGGGCGCCTGGGTGGCTTAGTCGGTTAAGCGTCCGGCTTTCGCTTAGGTCATGATCTCGCGGTTCATGGGTTCGAGCCCCGCGTCGGGCTCTGTGCTGACTGCCAGCTCAGAGCCTGGAGCCTGTTTCAGAGTCTGTATCTCTCTCTCTCTCTGACCCTCCCCTGCTCATGCTGTCTCTCTCTCTCTCTCCTAGAAATAAATAAAAAATTAAAAAAAAAAACAATAAAAAAAACCCTAACTTTATTTTATGTGAACTTCTGTTCAAAGACACCTTGTTTAATCTATGGTGTTGACTCATTAACATTGGACTCAGGGCCAATAAAAGTATAGCCCATTCCTGAATGGTGCTTATCTAATACATGTATTTTCTCCATAAGGCACATCACAGCCTTCTTATGTTCAGGAATACTAGATAGTACTTCAGCATTGCACTTGGGAGCCATTTTAAATAGCAAAATCACCAACGAAATGCACAAAAATGCAAAAACCTTGGCACTAAACAGACCTTGAAAAGAATACTTGTTTACAGTATGAAGGCTGAGACAAAAAGAGCACAGCATCACCTTGTTTGACCTTAGCTGGCAACATGCATATCAGGTGACTCAAAGTTTTCACAGCTCTGTACGTGTCTGCAGATGACTGTAAAAGCATTGGAAGTGTCAATTTTGGGATTACAAATAAAGTTTAGTAAATAGACAAATTCATAGATAAGGAGTATGGAATATTGAGGATTGACTGTAATTCACATACCATGTACTTAATCTATTTAAAGTGTACAGTTCAGTGTTTTTAGTATATTCAAAAGGTTGTGCAGACTTTGCCATGATGAGTTTTAGAACATTTTCATCATACCCCAAAAGTCCTTACCCATTAGCAGCCAATGCCTTTTTCCTCTCACTCCCACCCCCAGCCCTAGACAACCACTAACCACTTTCTCTGTGTATAGATTGCCTATTCTGGACATTTCATATAAATGGGATCATGGAATAGATGGCCTTTGGTGACTAGCTTTTTTCATTTAGTGTAATGTTTCCAAAGTTCATTGACCTTGTAGCATGCAGCAGTACTGGATTCCTATTCATTGGGTAATATTCCATTTTATGCATAGAGCACATTTTATTTATTCGCTCATCAGCTGATAGACACTTGAATTGTTTCTACTTCTTGGCTATTATGAGTAATGTTGCTGTGAACATTTCCATACAAGTTTGTTTTTTGTTTTGTGTGTGTGTGTGTGAATGTATGTTTTCATTTCTCTTGAGTATGCCTGGAAGTGGAATTGCTGGGTCTCAACACTTAATCTTTTTTTCAAATTTTTAAAAAAATTTTTATTTATTTCTGAGAGAGAGAGAGAAAGAGAGAGAAAGCATGAGCAGGGGAGGGCCATAGAGAGAGGGAGATACAGAATCTGAAACAGGCTCCAGACTCTGAGCTAGCTGTCAGCACAGAGCCCGACATGAGGCTTGAACCCACGAAACTGTGAGATCATAACCTGAGCCGAAGTCAGACGCTTAACTGACTGAGCCACCCAGGCACCCCAACACTTATCCTTTTAAGGAACTGCCAAATTCTTTTCCAAAGTGGCTGCACTATTTTTCATTCCCTCCAACAGTGCATGAGGGTTCCAGTTTCTTCACATTCTCACTAGTATTTATTATCGCTTTTTAATTATATCTCTTTTAATGGATGTGTGGTATCTCATTGTGGTTTTGATTTACATTTCCTGATGGTTAATGGTGAGCATCTTTTCACGTGCTTAATGGGTATTTGCATATTTTTCTTTCCAAAACTCCTTATTAGATTATCTGCTTAATTTGTAATTGAGTTGCTTGTCTTTTGATCATTGAGTTTTGTGAGTTCTTCATATATCCTACATACAAGTCCCTTATTATGTGATTTACAAATGTTTTCTCCCATTTTGTAGGCTTTTTGTTTTCTTGATGGTTTCCTTTGCAGCACAAAAGTCTTAAGTTTTTTTAAAAAACTTTTTTTTTAATGTTTTCTTTATTTCTGAGAGAGAGAGGGAGAGAGACAGTGTGAGCAGGGGAGGGTCATAGAGAGAGGGAGACACAGAATTGGAAACAGGCTCCAGGCTCTGAGCTGGCTGTTAGCACAGAGCCCGACATGGGGCTCGAACCCACAAACCGTGAGATCATGACCTGAGCTGAAGTCAATCGCTTAACCAACTGAGCCACCCAGGCGCCTCTAGAAGTTTTAAGTTTTGAAGAAGTTTAAGTTAGTTATTTTTTCTTTCGTGGCTTGTACTTTTGATGTCATATCTAAGAAACCATAACCGAATCCAGGACCATGAAGACTTACTCCTATGTGTTCCTCTAAGAATTTTATGTCTCTTACGTTTAGGTCTGTGATCTGATTTGAGTTAATTTTCATATGTGGTATAAGGTAGGAGCTCCACTTCATTCTTTTGCATGTGGATATCCAGTTGCCCCAACATCATTTGTTGAAGTGACTCTTCTTACCCATTGAATTCTCTTTGTACGCTTGTTAAAATTCAGTTGATTGTAAATATAATGGTTTCTTTTTGAACTGTTGGCTCTGTTCCATTCATCTATAGGGGAGTGCCACACTCTCTTGATTACTGTAGCTTTGTATTAAGGTTTGAAATTGGGAAGAGTAATTGTTCCAACTTTGTTCTTCTGTTTCAAAGCCATCTTAGCAACTCTGGGTCCCTTGCATTTTCATAGGAATTTTAAGGATCATCCTGCCAACTTCTGCAAAGAAGTCATCTGAAATTTTGATGGAGATTGCATTCAATCTGTTGATGCATTTGGAGACTACTGCCATCTTAACAATATTAAGCCTTCCATGAGCACGAGAGGCCTTTTCCATTCATTTAGATCTTTTTAAATTTCTTCCAACAATGTTTTATAGGTTCCAGAGTAAAAACCTTACAGTTCCTCTGTTAACTTTAAGTAATTTTTGATGGTAGTTTAAATGGATTTTTCCATTAATTTCATTTTCAGATTGCTTATTGCAAGTATGTGGAAATACAATTGATTTTTGTATACTGATCTTATATCCTGCAACTTTGCCAAAAGATAAATAACTTCTAAGCTAAGAAAAAGCAATATTAAAATATCTTTCATTTCTAAAAGTTAAAGATCATAATTTGACCCATACAGTGTCAAAGCAGGTACACCAAATTATGTCATAATGCTTTTCTAGTAACGCAGGGGAAATTTAGCTTCAGTTTCCTCCCTTCCAAGTCAGTTGATGTTATAATATTTTCATGCCCTTATTCTCTGGGCTCACACCCACCAAAGAGTTGTATGAATAGAAAATGATTACAGATTTGAGATAATAAGGGATCTGGCTTTATATCCCGGATTCAGCGCCAAGCACATGCATAATAGAGCAATTTCTAGTGATCACTTTAGAAGAACTTTCATTCTGAACATTTTGGCTTGTTGTTAATTCATCCATGTTTTTGACCTGAATCATTTTCTTTGGCTTGTTGTTTTTTGTTTGGTTTAATTCCTTCTGACTCTGCTTCTTTCATTCTCTTAAGATTTATTTTGTTTACTGATTTTTTATTTTTTTAAATAAATAAAAAAAGTTGAGCTCAAGGTTGCAGGAGAAAAGAATCAATAGATGAAAGTCACAAAATCACGTACAGGGCTAGCTTTGGGCAGTTTTATCACTTTGTGTGACTGGACTTCTAACAGGTATGTGGTGACTATCAGTCAAGATTGAACACTGAATTACAAATTCCACTGGCATTTCAGTCTGGAGTAGATCAAGAAGAAGACAAGAAAGAGGTATGTAATGATAATTCCTTTGGAAACCAATATTTCTACTATAATAGTATGAAATTGGGAACAATTTATTGTGTACTTACACATTTAGGGCTAATACTACAAATTTCTTGGATAAATAAATGAGGTAAAGAAGTTATTTGACTCATTATAATGTGTTGAACTTTTATTCCAAACTCCTAGGATTTAAGATCACCTTGATATGAAATCAGAGATCTGATCCTAGTGAATTTTTCCCGTTAGTGTATATTTGTTACAATAATTTAAAGGAAGAGTTTTAAGTTATGACTTCCTTTTTGTTTTGTTTTCCTTTCCGATCTAATGTTAGTTTAAACCAGCGGTTTTTAACACTGTCCATGTGCCAGAATCAGATGTGGAGCTTTTTTCCAAATAAAAATGCCTGGACCCAAACTGGATATACTGATCAGTATCTGAAAAGGTAGATTTGGGGCATCTGTGTTCTTAAAAAACACCACTGATGATTGTGATGTATCCTTGATGTTAAGAACTGGCTATTAGACTTTTCAAAGGTCAAAAACATGTCTAGGTGTGCACTAGTGCCCCTTGAGTAGCTTCTGTCCTTAAAAGAGAATGTATAAACCCAGAGGTATGAACAGGTCACACACAGGGCAATAGCACTTGCTTTTATTACACTTGTTCCCTTTAAAAGTATGATGCTCAGGTATTCCTCAGTTCTTTTTCCCTCTTTCCCACCGTATTAGGCTAGGTTTAGAGCATACTTTTGTGATGTGGTTTCAATTTTGAAAAGTTAAACTGACTGTTTTTGTTTCATAAAATCCCTCTCACTTTCTTTCTTTGGCCTTCTATGGTACTTATAACTTCATAACACAGAGTAAATATAGTACTGTATCTTATCATGTCCTACACAATCTCTGCCTCAAGTGCTGTTGACAAAGGACTATACTAAGGGCAAAACTAGTACTTCTTTTTTTTTTTTTTTAATTTTTTAATGTTTTATTTATTTCTAGGAGAGAGAGAGAGAGAGACAGCGTGAGCAGGGGAGGGTCAGAGAGAGAGGGAGTCACAGACTCTGAAACAGGCTCCAGGCTCTGAGCTGACAGTCAGCATAGAGCCCGACGTGGGGCTCGAACCCACGAACCACGAGATCATGACCTAAGCGAAAGTCGGACGCTTAACCGACTAAGCCACCCAGGCGCCCCAAAACTAGTACTTCTTTCTCTAATTTGTCTGTAACATCGAATAGCTATGTGCTTGAGAATATAAAGCTCTTGCTGTATGTGATATTATCATAGGTCACCATAAATAGAAAGAAATTAAGGACTGGCCTCCTAGGTGGCTCAGCTGGGTAAGTGTCTGACTCTTGATACTGGCTCAGGTCATGACCTTGCAGTCATGGGATTGAGCCCTGTGTTAGGCTCTGTGCTGAGCAGAGCCTGCTTGGCATTCCCTCTCTCCCTCTCTCTCTTCTCCTCCCCCATGCATGTGCACATGTACATGTGTGCTCTGCCCTTTCCTCAAAATAAACAAACAAAAAAAGAAATCAAGGACTTAATTCCACGTGACTTTTGTATTATATATAAGTATTTTTTTGGTCTGTGGCACAAGGATATTTTCCTCCCTTGGAAAGTCCTCTGAGAGCAGAATGTTAAGAAAGTTTAACTTCTTTCCTTTAGCGTCAAAAGCAATACCTGAGATATAGACGACTGTTCATGGATATTGAAAGAGAACAAGTAAAAGAACAACAAAGGCAAAAAGAACATCAAAAGAAAGCTGAAAAGTAAGTTCTTTGATCCTTATTATGAGCCTTCAGTTACCAGTTAAGATGATTTTGAAAACTAGGTTTTAGAAATCATTAGGCATAGTAGAAAAAACTGTTTTTGATATGAATAGAAGTATGAAAAGGTGGTTAAGAGCTATGTTTTTTTAGTAGAATCTTTTTTGGGAACAGTCTTAAGTTTACAGCAAAATTAAGTAGAAAGTACAGAGAGTTTTATTGACCCCCTTGCCTGTCCACATGGACTGCTTCCTCCACTGTCAACATAGCATGGTAGTATGGTGGTTACAACTGATAAACTTCCACTGACACATCATAATCCATATTTTACATTAGGATGCACCCTTAGTGTTGTATACACTCTTGTGTATTTTGACAAATGTATAATGGCTTGTATCCACACAATATAATATCATACAGAATAGTCTTACTGCCCTAAAATGCTTTGTGCTTCACCTATTCATCTTTGTCTCCCCCAGCTCATTGTAACCAATGATCTCTTAACTGTCCCCATTGTTTTTCCCTCTCCAGAATGGAATATAGTTGGGATACAATATGTAGCCATCTCAAACTGGCTATCTTTCACTTAGTAATATGCATTTAAGTTTCCTCTAATACCTTCCATAGCTTGACAGCTCATTTCTTTATAGTGCTGAATAATACTCTACTGTCTGGATGTACCACAGTTTATCCATTCAGCTTCTGAAGGTCTTCTTGTTTCTTCAAAGGTACACAGTTATTAATTAAGCTGCTCTAAATATCCATGTGCAGGATTCATTTGGTTGGTAGTTTTTAACTCCTTTGGGTAAATACCAAATAGTAGGCTTGGTTAAGAGTATGTTTACTTTTGAAAGAAACTGCCAAACTTTATTCCAAAGTGGCTGTACCATTTTGCATTTCTGTCAGCAATGAATGAAAGTTTCTTTTTCTCCATATCCTCTCCAGCATTTGGTTTGTCAGTGTTTTGGTTGTCAGCCATTCTAATGGTTGTGTAGTGCTGTCTCGTTGTTTTAGTGTGCAGTTCCCTGATGACACATGATGTGGAGCATCTTTTCATGTGCTTATTAGCCATCTATACATTTTCTTTGCTGAGGTGTCAGTTTAGGTCTTTGGCTCATTTTTTAATTGGGCTATTTGTTTTCTTATTCTTGTGTTTTAAGAGTTCTTTGTATGTTTTGGATAATAATCCTTTATCAAATGTGTCTTTTACAAATATTTTCTCCTCGTCTGTGGCTTTAATTCTCATTCTTTTGACACTATCTTTTGGAGAGCGGAAGATTTTAATTTTAATGAAATCCAGCTGATAATTATTTTTTTAATCTGTCATGCCTTAGGTATTGTATCTCAAAAATTGGGGCTCCTGGGTGGCTCAGTCAGATAAGCATTTGACTCTTGATTTTGGCTCAGGTCATGATTTCATGGTTCATGAGACTGAGCCCTGCATTGGGCTCTGTACTGACAGTGCTCGCTCGCTCGCTCGCTCTCTCTCTCAAAAAAAAAAAAAAAAATATATATATATATATATATATATATATACACACAACTATAAATATAAAATTATTACCATACTCAAAGTCACCTAGATTTTCTTTTGTGTTTTATATTTGGCTTGACCATCCATTTTTAGTTAACTTTTATAAGGGATGTAAGGTCTGTGTCTGGTTCATTTCTCTGCACATAGATATTCAGTTGTTCCTACACCATTTGTTGAAAAGACTGTCTCTGCTTCACTGTATTACTTTTGCTCCTTTGTCAAAGATCAGTTAATTTTATACAGGTCTATTTCTGGGCTCTCTTCTCTGTTCCACTGACCTATTTGTCAGTTCTTTTGCCAATACCACACTGCCTTAAAAGAGAAATGATGCCTATGAGAGACTCACTTTCCCTTTAAGGACACATATAGGCTGAAGGTGAAGGGATGGAAAAAGATATTCCATGCAATTGGTTACCAAAATAGAGTGGGGGTGTCTATCCTCATAGAAGACAAAATAGATTTTAAGTTGAAAAGGGTCACAACAGACAAAGAAGGTTCTTATATAATGATCAAGGGATAAATTCATGATATAACAATTAAAAATATTTATGCACCCAACATCAGAGTATGTAAACATAAAGCAAATACTAACAGAACTGAAAGGAGAAATAAACAGCAATACAATAATAGTGAGAGATTTTAGTATCCCCCTTTAAACAATGGATAGATCATTCAGACAGAAAATGAATAAGGAAACAGTGGTTTTGAACAACACTATAGACCAACTAGACTTAACAGACATATACAGAATATTCTAGCTAACAGCAGTAGAGTATACATTCTTCTCAAGAACACACAGAGTGTTCTTCAGAATAGATCATATGCCACATAGGCTATAACACTAGTCATAACAAATTCAAGAGGATTGAAATTATATCAGGTATTATTTCCAAACACATTGGTATAAAGGTAGAAATCAGTAATGAGGAAAATTGGAAAATTCACAAATATATGAAAATTAACACAATCCTGAATAACTGATGGATCAAATAAATCAAAAGGGAAGTAAAAATGTTTAGACAAAAAAAAAAATGGAAATACAACATACTAAATCTTATGGTATGCAGCAAAAGCAATTCTAAAAGGAAAGTTTATAGCTAAATGCCTTCAAAGAAAAATGATCTCAAAACAACAACCTAATCTTACACCTTAAGAAACTAAAAAAAGATGAGGAAACTAAGCCTAAAGTTAGTAGAAGGAAAGAAATAATAAAGATTAGAGCAGAATAGGAAAAAATAGAAAAGATCAATGATACTAAGAATTGGTTTTTTGAAAAGATAAATAGAACTGAAAATACTTAGCTAGGGGCACCTGGATGGCTCAGTTGGTTAAGCGTCTGACTTTGGCTCAGATCACGATCTCACAGTTCGTGAGTTCGAGCTCTGCGTCATGCTCTGTGCTGACAGCTCAGAGCCTGGAGCCCGCTTCAGATTCTGTGTGTGTGTGTGTCTCTGCCCCTCCCCCACTCACCCTCTCTCTCTCTCTCGCAAAAACGAATAAACATTAAAAAAAAAAGAAGAAATGCTTAGCTAGATTAACCAAGAAAAAAATGAGGACTCAAATCAATAAAATGGTAAACAAAAGAGGAGACATTATAGCTGATACCACAGGAACACAAAGGATCATAAGAGACTACTGTGAATAATTATATGCCAACAAATTGGACAACCTGGAAAAAATGGAAAATTTCTAGAAACATGCAACCTGTCAAGACTCAAACATAAAGAAATAGAAAATTTGAACAGACCAACTGCAAATAAGAAGATTGAATCAGCAACCAAAAACTTCCCCAGAACAAAAGTTCAGGACCAGATGCCTTCATTGTTGAATCCTACCAAACATTTAAAGAAGAATTAATGCTAGGTCTTCTCATTCTTCCAAAAAACTGAAGAGAAGGGAACACTTTCTGACTCATTATGGGGCCAGCGTTACCCTGATAGCAAAACCAGACAAGGTCAGTACACAGAAAGAAAAGTATAGGCTATCCTGATGAATATGGGTGTGAAAAGTCTCAACAAAATATTAACAAACTTAATTCAGCAGTACATTAAAAGGATCATATATCAGGAGCAATAGGATCTACTCCAAGGATGCAACAGTAGTTCAGCAACCACAGATCAATCAATATGATACATTTCATTAACAGAATAAAAGATAAAAATCATGTGTTCATCTCAATAGATGCAAGAAAAGCATTGGACAAAATTCAACATCCATTAATGATAAAAAACCCTCTCAATAAACTGATATAGAGGGAATGTACCCTATATGATAAGCCTACAGCTAAACATATACTCAATAGTGAAAAGCTGAAACTCTTTCCTTTAAGATCAGGAGTGCCTGATCTCCCCACTTATATTCAACTTAGTACCAGAAGTCCTAGCCAGAGCAGTTAGACAAGAAAAAGAAAAGTCATCCAAGTGGCAAAGGAATACTCAAACTCTATTTGCAGATGACATGATATTATGTTATGTATGGAAAACGCTAAAGATAACACCAAACACTTGTTAAGAACTGATAAATGAATTCAGTAATACCTGTATTTTGCAGGATACAAAATCAGTTTACAAAAATCAGTTGTGTTTCTATATACTAACATTGAACTATCAGAGAAATTAAGAGAACAGTCCTATTTACAATAACATCAAAAAGAATAAAATACTTAGGAAAAAATCTTACCAAGGAAGTGAAAGATCTATACATGTAAAGTAAAACATTGATGAAAGAAATCGAAGAAGACGCAAATAAATAGTTATTCCAAGCTCATAAATTGGAAGAATTAATATTGTTAAAATGTTCATACTGTCTAAAGGAGTATACAAAGTCAATTCAGTTCCTATCAAAGTTCTAAAGGCAGAAATAGAAAAGACAATCCTAAATTCGAAAATCTGTATGGAACCATAAAAGAACCCATAGTGAAAGAATTCTTAAGAAAGGAGAATGAAGCTGGAGGCATCACACTTCCTGATCTCAAGCTATATTACAAGTTATAGTAATTAAAACAGATAATGGTGACATAAAACAGAAACAGAGATACAGGGACAGAATAAAGAGCCCAGAAATAATAAAGAGCAATCAAGAATATACAATGGGGAAAGAATAGTCTTTTCAATAAATGGTTTTGGGAAAACTGGATTTCCACATGCAAAAGAATGAAAAGTGGAGCCATAACTTACACCTTCAAAAATCAACTCAAAATGTTTAAAGTCTTGAACATAAGACCTGAAACTTTAAGACTCATAGAAGAAAACATGGGGTAAGCTCTCTGACTTTGGTCTTGGCAATGATTACCTTTTAAAAATACTTATTTTATTTTTGGGAGAGTGAAGGTGGGGAAAGGGCAGAGAGAAGGGGACAGAGGATCCAAAGTGGGCTCTGTGTTGACAGGCTGACAGCGGCAGCCCAGTGTGGGGCCTGAACTCAATGAACCATGAGATCCTGACCTGAGTTGAAGTTGGACATTCAGCTG